AGATTAAAAGGGACATATAATAATGAATGTGCCAATCCTGCAGGAAGATATAGCAATTATAAACATATCTGCATCTAATAACAGAGCACTAAAATACATGAAGCAAAAACTGACAGAAAAGAAGGGAGAAATACACAATTCAATAATAATAGTGGGAGACTTCAATATCGTACTTCAATAATGTTTAGAACTAGGTAGAAGACAAATAAGGAAAACAGAAGACCTAAACAACATTATAAAACAACTAGACCTAACAGACGTCTATTAAACATGCCACCCAGCATCAGCAGAATACACATTTTTTTCTCATGAACATTATACAGGATAGACCACATGCTAGGCAATAAAACAAACCTCGATAAATTTAATATGAGTGAAACAATACAAAGTATGTTCTTGGACTACCTAAAAAACCAAACCCATTGTCATCGAGTCAATTCTGACTCATAGCGACTCTACAGAACAGAGTAGAACTGTCTCATAAGGTTTCCAAGGAGTGGCTAGTGGATTGGAACTGCCGACCTTTTGGTTGATAGCCAACTCTTAACTACTGCACCACCAGAGCTCCGTTCTTGGACTACAGTGGAGTTAAATTAGAAATCGATAACAAAAAGACACTTGGGAAACTCACAATTATGTGGAAATTAAACAGCACACTTCTAAATAATCAATGGATCAAGTGAAAAAATGAAGGGGAAATTAGAAAATATTTTGGGATGATTGAGTATGAAGAAGCAATATGCCAAAACTTATGGGATGCAGCTAAAGCAGTAGCTAGAGAGAAATTTATACTGTAAATATCTATTTTTTTTTTAAAAAAAAGTTCTCAAAACAATAACCTAACCTTTCCTGTTACAACACTGGAATAAGAAGAGCAAACTAAACCTAAGGCAAGAAGAAGAAAGGAAATAATAAAAATTAGAGCAGGGATTAATGAAATAGAGAATAGAATAATATAGAAAGTCAATAAAGCTTGTTCTTTGAAAAGATCAACAAAATTACAAACCTTTACCTAGACTGACCAAAAAAAAAAAGACAACTGAAATTACTAATAGTACATATAAAAGAGGGAATATCACCATTGCCCTTACAGAAATAAATAAGATTCTAAAGGAATACTATTATAACTGTATGCCAATAAATTAGAGAACACAGATAAATTGGACAAATTCCTAGAAAAACACAAACTACCAAAACTGACTCATGAAGAAATTGAAAATCTTCTTGACAAATAAAGAGATTTATCTAGTAATCAAACCCTACCCACAAAGAAAATTGCAAACCCAATTGGCTTTACTGGTGAATTCTAACAAACATTTAAAGTTAAAATTAATACCAACTTTTCACAAACTTTTGAGGAACAGAGTTTTTAATTCTTGTGAAATTCAGATTTCTGGATTTCATGGAGGCTGAGGTGACCCATCCAAGCTACCACCCTGAGATAATCTTTGAACCTTGAGCCTTTAGAAAACTGGCTTCCTAAAAGTAACCTTTAAGTCAAACAATACCAAAAAAACCAAACCCACTGCCATTGAGTTGATTCCGACTTATAGTGACTCCGTAGAGTTTCCAAGGCTGTAAATCTCTACAGAAGCAGACTGCCACGTTTCACCCACAGAGCCACTGCCGACCTCTCAGTTAGCAGTCGATTGCTTTAAGCACTGCACCAATTAGTAAAGAACGTTTGCCTTAGACATTGTGCTCTTTTAAAAAATCATCTATGTGCAGTTTCAACAACAGAAACTGCAAAGGTCAGACTACAGCTATGTTTTAGGGTAAGTCAGTAATTATCTGAATTATTCTTCAAGAGAATGCTGCATGCCCACAAGTTATTCTGGCCTTGTTTCCATGGAAATGTATGATTACTAGTGATAAGTATAAGAATCTGTAAAAGATTTTTCTTCTTGGGAACTTTTTTGACCCTCTAGTTGGAAATGTTGCTCCGATTGGTAAATCATATATTAAATAAACTTCAATCAACTTCTATTATTGGCTTAATATGATTTTTGTTTTAACATTTTTCAAAAAAATAGAAGAGAATATCTCTCACTTATTTTATGGGATCAGTAATACCCTGATGCCAAAATCACACAAAGACATCACTAGAAAGGAAAATTTTGAAGATGTTATCAGCTAATTCAACATGAGGTCATTACTGAAGTGGGGAGAGTCCATCCAATAATATTGGTGTCCTTATAAAAGGGAAGATACACAGAGACAAAGAAGAAAGACAGTCATGTGACCATGGAGGCAGAAATCAGCTGCCAGCCAAGGAATGTCACAGAACGCCAAGGATTTCCCGCCATCATCAGAAGCTAGGAGAGAGGCATGCAACAGACTCTCCCTCAGAGCCCTCAGAAGGAATGTATACAGCTGACACCCTGATTTTGGACTCATATCCTACACAACTGTGAAACAATAAGTTTCTCTTCCTGTAAGCCACCAAATTTCTGATATTTTGTTATGGCAAACCTACAAAAGTAATAAAATGAAGGAGTGGGATTTCTCCCAGGAATTCAAGGCTAGTTTTTAACATATAAAAATCAATTAATGTAATGTATCATATTAATAGAATAAAAAACAAAGATCACATGATAATCTCGATACAAAATTTATTTGAAAAAAATCTAACACACTTGAATTATAAAAAGCCCTTAACAACTTTGAAATAGAAGGAAAATAACTCATACTGATAAAGGGCATCTCTGAAGAACACACAGCTAACATACAATGGTGAGAAACAGGATCCTTTTCTATCCTACGATCAAGAACAAGATAAAGATGGCCAATCTTGCCACTTCTAGTCAACATCCAACTGGAGGTTCTAGCCAGGCAAATAAAGCAGGAAACGTAAGTAAAATGTATCCAGATTGGGAAGGAGGAAGTAAAACTATATTTGCAGATGACATGACCTCATATATAGAAAATCTTAAGGACTCTATTCTAAAACTATTAAAACTAATAAATGAGTTCAGAAATGTTGCAAGATAAAAGATCAAAGTACAAAAATCAACAGTATTTCTATACTCTTGCAATGAACAACCTGAAAATGAAATTAAGAAAATAATTCCATTTATAATACATTAAAAAGAATGAAATACTTAGGGATAAATCCTTCAGCTGTTCTGGAAAACAGTTTGGAGGTTCATCAAAAAGTTAAACTAGAACTACCATATGACTCAGCAATTTCACTCCGAGTTTTATACCCAAAAGACTTGAAAGCAGGGACTCAGGCTTGAACACCAATGTTCACTGCAGTATTATTCACAACAGCCAAAAGGTGGAAACAACATTTTTTATGTGCTTATCAACACATAACAACTCTGTTTATGTGTTCATAAACAGATGAATGGATAAACAAAATGCGGTATATCCATACAATAGAATATTATTTAGCCATAAGAGAAATGAATTTCTGATACATCCTACAACATGGATGAACCTGGAAAACAATATGCTGAACAAAATAAGTCAGACAGAAAAGGACAAAATATTGTGAGAAATATCTAAAATAGGCAAATGCATAGAGACAAAAGTTCATTAGTGGTTACCAGGGGCTGAGGGGACGGGGAAATGGGGAGTTATTACTTAAGTTTCTGTTTTCAGTAGTGAAAAACATTTGAAAATGAATAGTGGTTATGGTTGCATAGCACAGTGAATATAATTAATGCCACTGAATTGTAAAATTAAAAATAGTTAAAATGGCAAATATTTTGTTACATATACTTTACCACAATACATTCTTTTTAAATGTTTCTTGGACAACTGGATTGCCACATGCAAAGAATGAAGTTAGACCCTTACCTCACACTATGCCAACTAACTTATCTGGTACTCTACCAAACACCACTCTCCTCACAAGAAGTAATAATTTTAATTCCGTCTAAGATAAATCATCAAAAAATAAGATATTACCAAATCTGGGGGAAATATATAACTACAATATTCTCCCAACTCTTGGAACTTTGAGATTTTCCTTCTGCTTTAACACTAGAATGCAAGGCTAAGCATGTTTGATCTTGTTTTTCTCTGAAGAACTGCAGTCAGACATTTGGTTCATTTAAGGGCGTACGTCAATACCAGATTAATGTCACATATTCTGACATTTTTTGTTCCTTATACTCCAGTGTAACCCTTTAAGAATATTACAGTTCTCCCTCACATGGACATGAGAAACATAAAGTCACAAATGATTCTTTCAACAAAAGAATTTTTGTTTTCTCCACGATGATTCATATTGTTAATAAGAAAATGTAAAAATCTATGCACACAGTATTTAAAAGAACTGGAAATTTTCAAAAGCTAAAACATAATCATATGTATAACTTTCAGGTCTCAACTTAGATATTGTTCTGGGGATTTGATTTCTAAAGCTGGGGCAAGTATAGGTCATAATTTAAGCAGTATATAAGGTATCATCATCCATCTTCTTCCTCCACATACAAAATTGTAGGAATTTTAACAAATTCATTTAGTACACGTTTAGTACGAGTTATTTGTCTGGTACGTCCTTAAATGATGTCCAAGTATTTTGTTGTCTTTTCATCTCCAATCTTTTTTTTTTTTTTAAATCTCAAGATGGGCACATGTATATTGAACGTGCAGTACTAATTAACCATGATGCCCTAAGTAAAAGTGCATTTTCTGTTGAATCAATAGTTCAGTTGCGGATTTTAACAGATGGAATAAAATTAGAAATAAAAAGGCTACTATAAATTTAAAATAATGAAAGAGCACTGAATCTTAGCAAAGAAAAAGTTTGTAGACAAAATTTATAAATTTGAATGGATCAGTCAGCTTTATATAGATCAAATAGCATTTCAAGGAAAATTGTTTTACCTTCATTATTTGCTCATTTTTATCTGATGATGCTTATAAGTTTTTAAGAATGTCATTTCTCCTCAGAATCGTTCAGGTTGAAGAGATGAAGAAAATTACATATTTCGGTTAAGACTGGAGGTGGATAACTGCAATGAATTTACACTCAAACAATCACTTACTTGAAGTCCCCAGCAGTTTGGAAATGGCTTTTAACTTTGACAGTGATTTCTTTCCATTGATAACATGGAGTTTTGCATTTTATAATATCCTAAAGTAAAGAAAAAAAAAACTAAATCATAACAAGAAAAATGAATATCCTGAAGTATAAAATACAAACTTAAAAAAGTCTAAAGCTTTCCATTTAAATATTACACTGATACTAATTTATATAATTCCCCTTTTCCCACAAATATTGTACTGCTAAAATCTGAGTGGGAAAGGATAAAAACATGTTTTATCTGACCACTCATCCATAGTACTGTGCTTGTTAACTAAACTACTTGTCAAAATATTTTTCTTACAAATTAATTTCCTTAAAATCGATTTTGTTTACAACTGAACATGATTTTGCAGTTAAAATTAATCAATCATATACCTAATATATACGACATAAGAAAGAGGCAGCAGAGAGAGAGAGAGAAAATAAGCATGTTTATGAGTGTGCAAGAGCGTGGACTGCCTGTTCTTATAATTACCCAGTGGACTTCTGAGGCAGGCAGCCTCAGAGCCCAAACCTTCTAAGAGACACTTGCTCTGGCCTATCCTTCTACACTGAGCAGAATAAACTGCTCTTCTGAAATTGTCCTTGACAAATTAACCACAGAACCGGCCATAGATGGCCTCAACCTGCCTCTGAGTGCAGACTTAACAATGTCATGAATGAAAATCAACCTCTTCCCCTATCCTGGGGGATGGAACCCTTGTGTAAAGAAAATGCATAGTCATCACCAAGCTCTGAGAGCCTAGGTGAAAGTCGATCCTGAATATTCATGATTAATTTGCATTCCCTGGTCTGCTCTCTGCAAAAGCTCACCTCCCTAAGCTGCCTGCAAGCAAACTTGGAGGCAACAGCCCCAATTGCTCCTTTCCTTGCACAACAGAAAGAAAGGCATCTTTCTGATCCCCCACCTTGGCCGTTTGTTTATGGGCTGTAACAAGTCAAGCAGAGAAGAACCTGAGGTTTCCACCCAGCAACACTTCCATGAAGAAAAAATTACAAGGACTTCTACATTTTTAGACTGATCATATTCTTGCCTTGTTTTATTTCTCCATTATTATACAATCCACCTTCTCTGACTTAACACCCTGAGAGGGCAGATGGGGGAAATAAACAGGGACCACATTGGCTTCAGGAGTCGGTTTTTCTTCTTCAGAACCAGGTTAATGAAAGCTAAATTCAGCCATTTCTCTTAGCCACATGTAGCAAAGTTGTGTCGCGTTTCAAAGCATTTGTGAGAGAAGCTTAAGAAGTTTAAGTGTTGATGAACACTTAAACTTCTCAACCTTCTCACACAAATTATTCAGGAGACAGTTAAGAGATCATAACACACATCTCAGTGACAATGGAATTCCCACTTCCTGTCCTGGGTGTCATTATCTAATAAGCCCCTCGGTCAATGGGAGCTTCTCACTCATCTGGCCGCCATTCAACCCTCCCAGCATCGCTTTCTCTATTTCCCACTCTTGTCCCCGTCCACCTAAAATTCTTTATAATCCACAGGGGAATCTGGCAACATAACAAATTGACTTGTTCTTTTACCATACATCCATGGTAGAAAAAAAAATTTAGATATGGTAATGTCTACTAAACATTAACCATAATAATAATACAATCATTTTATACAGATTTCAAAATCCATCTCGCCACCCTTTGAGATATAAACACTTAGAACTCTTTCTGGAACATCATCACCTCTCAATAAATTCCAACCTTGACATTATCTTTATAATGGATTTGCTCCACAGGACATTCAAGATAAACTGAGAAATGTTCCTGTCAGAAATAGAAACGTATTCTTTGCTACACAAGCCAATAAGGCTTAATCCAAATAAAACAATATAAGACACAGGCCCAGGGACTCCTTTAACTTAAGTCACAGTCCCCATGGCAGAAGCGCATTTGAGTTTCTATGTGTATAGTGAATGGTTTCTTCATGAAAAGAACAAAAATAATTTTAACATGCTGACCATAAAGTAATACTCCATACAATTTCTTTCAACTTCTATTATAAAATTAGACACTTATTTCCAAGAAAGTATATTAGAGCAACATTGTGGAAGACATAGAAGCCAAGAATCATGTGCGTGTAAATATATGCCCTTCTGGTGTCTACACACACACATGATCTCAAGGAATGAGAGCTACCTAGAGATATAATTCAGACTATAACTGAGTTTGCAACACTCCATGGCCTGAGAAGAGCAGAAAATCCATACAAATATAGATAACATTTACTTACAATAGGTTTGAAATTGAGGACTTCTCCCCTCAGAGCAAAAGTCATCGTAGCGCCTCCAACTGTATTCTTAGGTTTTGAAATTAATAGCAGTGAAGCTTCAGCCGGATGGAGAAAGCGGCTGGTGAACTTCACAGTGATTTCAATTTGGTTCCTATTTAATAAAAGGTAACATACTTCAGTTTAAAAATACAATCAACAAGCATTTATTAAGACCTTGTGCCCAGTGTCTACATTATGTAATGTGTTCATTTCTACAAAATAAAAGGCTTTTGCAGATCTCAGGATGTCTACTATCTAGTTATTGTTGCCAGTTAAGACATCTTGATCCCTCCTGTAAAATATAAAGTTAACTTACAAATGTACACATAATCTACCAAACATTGGATTTTCTAACAGCTAGTCACAGAAAATCACATACGCATTTTTTGTGTGAAATTCATACGACATTCTGTGCTACTCTTTAGGCAAATTCTTAGTCATGTCACTGGTTTTTGCTCACATGGAGAAAAAGATAAGAAAGAATAAGAATTCAAAAAATATGTAAAGCATTGTTGAAAATAACATTCAAAGCTCAAATTCAAATAATACATTAGTAGCATGTTTTTATTAAAAATAAACTGTTAATTAAAAGAAGGACTAAAGAAAACATGCTCATCTTGCTTAATCTTTAACTTGGTAGTCTAAAATATAGTGTAATGGTAAAGAGTTTATGGACTTGGAGGAAATTTACTTACTAGCCTGCAGTGCATGGTACCCTGGTAACCCGGCATGACTCCACATAGACTACATATACATGGCTTAACTGCAGCTGATAAAAGTCTTGGCAGAAAGTGATCTTCCCTTAACAGAAGAGAACGGAGGCTCATGAAGAGCAACTAAAAGACCATTTCTCATTTGCCTCATTTCTCATTATCTCCCCTGAGAGATTGTCAGAAGACAGTTTCACATTGCCTCCTGGATTCTGATGAGGTATGAGGTTTGCTGCCTCACCCTCTTTAGGGTACTGCTGTTGTTGTTGTTGCTAGTTGTCACTAAGTGGATTCTGACTCATAGCAACCCCATGTATGCAAAATAGAACTGCTCCATCGAGTTTTCAAAGCTGTGACCTTTCAGAAGCAGATGTCCAGGCCTATCTTCTGAAGACACCTCTGGGTGAGTTTGAACTGCCAACCTTTCATCTAGTAGTGGAGAGCTTAACCATTTGTGCCACCCAGGAACACCTTAGGGTACAGCTACAGGCTGTACAGTTGCTTAGTTGCAGCATTAAATTGGCTCCTCAGCAACAGAGCATCCTACCATCCATGATGTAGTCATCAAACCCCTTTTGTTTCAGTGCTGTCCTGCACAAAGGACATGGGGATCTGGCACCTTTGACTACTCTTGCTTTCACTGTTTATATATAAGTAATACACTGTATGAACCTACAATGGCTTCACTGACTGCAACTTTCAGCCTTGCCTTGACACAGCTGTGGGTACTAGATCTCAGGGAAATCTGACCTTCGTTTTTACTCTGGCTTTTACCATTGTTAGCATTATATATCATAGCACAGTTATTCTCTTGTGCAGACTAACAACTACTGTCTTCTCTTAGGATGCGTAGATTTGGAAATAAACCAGTTGCCGCCAAGTCGATTCCGACTCATAGCGACTCTATAAGGAAAGAGGAGAACTGCCCCCACAGCATTCCCAAGGCTGTAAATCTTTACGGAAGCAGACTGCCACATCTTTCTCAAAGGAGCGGCTGGTGGGTTTGAACTACTGACTTTTTGGTTAGCAGCCGTGCACTTAACTGCTGCACCACAGTTGCCTCTACCTCATTAAAAAAAAAATCTCTATGATATTACATGTACTTTGTAAGCTACTTCAAGGTGGCTGTTGGAAAAGATAGAGAATAACTACATAACATATCCATGTCAGTGCCCATATGGCTCAATGACAATAATGAGGAAAAAAAGAAAAGAAACACAATGGTTTTCTAAGGCTGTCCTTTCACTTTTAGGACAGTCACTATATGGTTACAGCTAAATTTACGCATCGAGTTATATGCAGACATAAACATTTATTTATATGCTGGTGTAGCTGTTAATCTTATTTATATAAATGATATCTCTGGGAATTTAAATTTGAAGCTGGCAGAAAGAACCTCTGTTAATTGTGAATTGGACAAAATCTGTGGCAGTTATGTGGTACACATAGGTAGGAAATCATACAATATCTGATAATGATAAAGCTCAGGATTGCCTTTTTGTTAAAGAAGACAAAATATTTTCCAAGTCCAATTTGTAAAAGGAGCCCTGGTGGCACAGTGGTTAAGAGCTCAGCTGCTAACCAAAAGGTTGGCAGTTCGAATTCACCAGCCGCTCCCTGGAAACCCTATGGGGCAGTTCTACTCTGTCCTATAAGGTCGCTATGAGTTGGAATCCACTGGAAGGCAATGGGTTTGGTTTTTGGTTTATTTGTTAAAACCAAAGAACATGAAATTATTTCGCCTAGCTAAAGAGACACTTAAGGAACCATCTAACAATAATATTCAAGTCTACAAAAGAGAATGCATATAGAAAAGTAAATAATTGTTTTCCATATATATTGAGAATTATGCAGTCTTTTCTGTGAACCCTTCTCTGGTTTCACCAAGAACATTCAGGAGCTTATTCTTCCATGTTCTTCTAGTCGTGTGCACACATTACAATTAAAACAATTGCCAAATTATATCCTTATGTCTTTGCTTGTCTGGCCTACATATGTGTGTGTGTGTGTGTGTGTGTGTGTGTGTGTGTGTGTGTATAAAATTGAAGCATGAACTGGTTCCAATTTTCTGCTAAACAGAACCATAAGAGATAAACTAACAACTCATTTTTTTAATCTTTATGACCTACATGCATGCAAAGAAATTAAATTCATACATAAAAAGCAGCGGTTTTGTATTGTTAGAATTGCTTTAATACAATGGGCAAAGTACCTCAGAAAAACATGAATACCTATATCTGAATAGTGGTCTTTTCATTACATATCTATCAATTAAAAATATCCAAGTTACTCTTTTATAGGAATAATAAACATTAAATTTCTAGGTTTTATATGTTCAAGAAAGTAAAATCGAAAAAAAAAGTTACTTACTTTGGAGAAATGGTCACAACATTCCCTGTTTGGGAGAGTGAGAAGTCAGCAGCATCTCTTCCAATAATTGTAGCATTATACACTAAGTTTTTCAAGCTTGAATTTTTCAGTAGAACCTATGGAAGAAGGTATGAAATGCGATCATGAGTTTAAAAATTATAGAAGCGTAACAGTTCTTCTTTTTATCAAAGACAGTTTCCAGCAAGGAGATGGCAGATGAAAAAGCATGTGACCATCAAAGGTTTGAAGGTCAAAATTAGCAACTTCAACTTTGATTTTATTCTTATTGCATAGGGAAACCATTGGAGGATTTTAAACAGAGAACGTACATAATCTGATTCACAGAAAGGATACTACTATAGATGGTTTATGGAGAAAGTATCATAAGGAGTGTAGGTTTAAAAACAAAAGTCTAGGCTGGAGATGATGGTGGTCAGGTCTAGAAGCAGTCGTTTTGCTAGTGATTGGCTGTCCTATCCCTTGTCCCTTCCATCCCGAGCCAGAGATATAGAGAATATTAGAGAATGGGCTACTTCATTTCTAGTGAGAGTTTCTTGAAAAATTTGAGACTACAGGTGTTTATGTAAAATATAATGGAGATTAAAACACATATAACAGGAAAAATTCAAGGGTATTATGGAAAGTACTGAGTCAGAGGAGGGAAAAAACCTGGAAAAAGAGAGAAGATTGGATGATGTAGAGTGAAGAAAAGGTGCCTGGAATTTAGAAAGTCTAGAAATTGTAGTCATGGATAGGTGATGCCTAAAAAACTAATGCGATGTGTGGTTATAATAAATCGTGGGCAGTATGGTAGAGATGTACTGAAAGATTAAATTAACTACTTTTATAGTTCAATGGCAATTTTGGTAACTATCAGAACAAGCATGTTGTTGCTAAAGAGTTCCTGCCTTCAGCTTCCTCAAAGATTTGGGAATCTCAGGCTGCTCGCCAACTTATAGATACCAATTATAATGGAAGCAAGATCAGCCTAGTAGGTTTTCTTTTTCTTTAAATTTATGTATGTATGGATGTATTTCTGGTGTTCATTAAGAAAAACTAGTTGCTGTCGAGTTGATTCCAACTCATAGTGGTCCCATGTGTGTCAAAATAGAACTATGCTAGATAGAGTTTTCAATGGCTGATTTTTTTGGAAGTAGATCACCAGGCCTTTCTTCCGAGGTGCCTCTGGGTGAACTCAAATCTCCAAACTTTCGGTTAGTAGCTGAGTGCATTAACCATTTGCACTACCCAAGAACTCCAGTGTCTCTTAAGAGATCTGGTGATTTTAAGTCCGAGAGAGTGAATTTCCATTTTATGGAAGGAAATGTTGAAATCATAGTAGATTCACTACAAACTGTTATTGGTTAAAGTCCTGGAACTCCCATAATCATAACCAGCCCTGAGACCTTAGGGAAACCATTCAGTCTCATTAAATCTATGACAAAAAAGGTGGTGAATTCATCTGTGGTCAACTGTAAATTTTGTTTCAAACTTAATAAAAAGAAAATTCAGTTGCTTCAAAAACAAAAGAGTGTCAGAAAAATGTCACTGCACTATTTGATCGCTATGTTTTCTGCCGGTTCCAAAATTTTATGTATCTCTTAGTGGTGGCACAGTGATTAAGAGCTCAGTTGCTAACCAAAAGTTTAGCAGTTCGAATCTACCAGCCACTCCTTGGAAACCCTAGGGGGCAGTTTCACCGTGTCCTCTATGACACTCAACGGCAACGAGTTTACTAACAAAAATGGAAAGATATAAAATTAAATAAAAGGGATAATGCCTCAATATTTTCTAACAAAAAATCATAATAGAGATGCTTTCCTTTCTTTAAACTGAGCCCTTTATACTTTGAGACAAGAACCTGAGATTTTCTCAATTCTTAACTGAATCCTTATCCGCCATTAGTCAGACTGTCACAGAGGCTACAAAGTTATTTTATCAAAGAGGTCACAATTACCAATTACAGATCACTAGAACATAATTTTTGAACCAAATATGGGCAAGCTTTGCACTGAAAGTATAAACTTATCCCCCTCAAAAAATATGAGCAGGAATATATAACAACAGCCTGAGGAAAAGGAATAAACATAAATGTGACTGAAGGGTAAATTGCCTATTACACAGATATGATCATGTCAACTTATAGTGTTGAGAAAGAAGCATGGAGAGACCTATAGATGTGGTGCAAGGCTATGAAAACTAGCAGCAGGAACAGTCTTGTCTACATATAAGCTATTTAAAATTGCCAGAAAATATTTAATAAGTGTTAATAAGAAAAAATGGTTTGAAAAACAATGTACCTGACAAGATATTTCCCCACCAAAGAGAAAACTTACAAACATGGACATATTTATATAGAAATGTTATTAGGCACAGGACTCAGAAATTTGGTTTTCAATTTTTTCTGAAAAGTAAATAACACACTGTTACGCATTTAGTGGCTTCAATATATAAAAACATTCTGTGGGAATTAGGTGGACCTGGAGCACTTTTCATTATTACCTCCCTTTCTACATCCTCTTTGAACAAAATCCATCTGGGTGTGTGTAAACCGCTACCTAAAGGAAAGCTGAGAACATTCAAATAATAAGTTTCCACTTACAGTGTCAGTCCTTTCGTGAATGAAATTGATCTCAAGTGGCCTGGGAGGACTGGCCCTTCAAAAGAGCTTAACTTTCACTCTCCACCTTCCCAAATCCCATTAATTTCATGAATGTGAAAGCAGGGGTAATCATTTTCATTGCAGGTGGTGATTATTATGGACCAAAAGCTATTCCTTTCACTTTTCTAGACCTTAGGCTTAGAAGTAACAACCTTTGCTAAGGCTGATTGGATAGATAGCTAGATAGACAGACAGACAGACAGATGTTGTTGTTTTGTGCCGTCAAGTCAATTCCGACTCATAGTGACCCTACAGTGCAGAGTAGAACTGCACAATAGGATTTCCAAGGCTGTAATCTTTATAGAAACAGATTGCCATGTCTTTCTCCCACAGAGCAGCTAACCTTTCAATTAATAGCCCAGCGCTTAACCTGTGTCACCAGGGCTGAACAGATACATAGATAAACAGATGTTGTTAGTTGTCTTTGAGTTAGCTTTCACATGGCGACCTTATGTATAACAGTACAAAACATTGCCTGGTTCTGTGCCATCTTCATGATCATTAGTATGTTTGAATCCATTATTGTGGCTATACAAGCATCCTATTGCTCAAATCAAAAACCAAACCAGTTGTTATCAAGTAGATTCTGACTCATGGTGACCCTATGTGCTTTAGAGTAGAACTGTGCTCCACAGGGTTTTCAATGGCCATGACTTTTAGAAGTAGATTGCCAGGCCTTTCTTCTGAAGTGCCTCTGCATGGATTTGAACTGCCAACCTTTCAGTTGATAGCTGAGTGCTTAACTGTCTGTACCACCCAGGGACTCTTAATTTTGGGTTGTGAAAGAAATATCTAAAACTTCTCTTAAGTGCTTAACTCCACATGTATGTTGGCCCCAAAGGTCTCCATACCTGTCTTAGCACAGTGTCATGCAGACTACAATGAAAGGGCACCACCTTCTTGGGGAGGTATGTAGGAAGTCTTTCATACATGTAGACACAAAGCATGAGCATCAGAATTGGATTTGGGTCAAAGATGTCAGTGGCCTAGTTTCAAAGAAGAGAAATACAAATTAGAGCATATACTGATAAATTAAAATACATAAAAAGAGGTAAAACATAGTATATCGATTATTGAATTATTTTAAAACATTACTGATTGGCAATGACACCAAAACACAAAAATAACCTACAGCATATTGAGGTGAATGAGAAGATACTGGCCTAAGAGTTAAAAAATTAATTAGATGTGTTTTAAGTAGAAAACTGATCTCACGGCCTCAAAGACCCCATAAAAGCTAGTCAGAGCTCAGAGAAAATACTATGTACATCATCCCTGCCTTAAAGTAGCATATAAAGCAGTAGAAGAAAAACCACAGGAGGTGGCACTTGAGCTGTGCCATGAAGAATGCTAGGATTTTAAATAGGTTGTGTTTTGGGTGAGGAAAAGAATGTATTCTATCAGAAAGGCAAAGCACTATAAGGCAAGGAAATGAATATGAATAGTGTTTATTCAGGAAAGAAGTGAAATTTGTATTTTTCATAAGATAAGAGGAGGCAAGTAGTAGGTGATAAGACTAAGAAGTTCTGGGGCCAAGTGTGGAGGAGTTGGATGCCAGAGTGAGAGACTTGGTTTCTGAACAAGGAATACATGACAAGAGCAACAATTTAGGCAGAGTAGGCAAGGTTGGTAGGGAGGGGTACTTTTCCCAGGACAGACAAATTTATAAGAAGTAAGAAAATGTAACTGTAGTGATAAATAACATAAATTAGTGATGGTGGTTGGAATAGATTTGAGATAAAATCCAACATTACAGAAGAATAACAGCAGAGAAAATAAACACAACTGAAATGTAATTTGGAGTCAAAAAGTAGAGCCAGGAGCAGAAAAGGGAAGGGTTCTTTCTATCAGTTAATGTTATGCCTAAGATCTCTTAGAAAAGGGTGGAGGTACTGGAGTGGGGGAGATTCATATTAAGGAAGTATTCGGATTTCTGTGAGGCAGATCAAAAGACGTACAGACCACCACTAATAATCCAGCAACTCCGTTATTATGAATGTACAGGGGGCTCTCTGCACTTCCATGAAATGAATATCTGCCTGTCTTAATGGTACATACTCAAGCTAGCAACTGAAAATGATTTGGGTTTGGCCTCAGAAACACGAATAGTGTCAGAGCATAGGAGATCTAGTATGTTATGTGGAACTAATACATTTAACTGTGAAATTTGGCAGCAGTTACCAGGGAATAATGACAGCCTCTATATAATTCACTAATCCATACTTCCTCATACCCTCTTCTTCTTCTTTGGAAGAAGGAAAGGGTTTATTCTTTCTTGTTTGGGCAACTAGGCTTGCCAATGAAGGTGCCTAGGGAGGGTATTGTTTGTAAAGAATACGGGAGCTGCCCTGCCTCAGCAGGGTAGAAAGCTGCCTGCAAGTAAAATTTGAGGAAAATTGTGAAAAACACCTGGCCCCCAAAGTTTCTCATTAGTATTCTTTCTGTTGCCTCCCATTTCTTCAATAGAGAAAATATTAGGAAATAGACATAGTAAAGTTATTTCAGAGAAGAACAAAATCAAAATGAATTACAGAGTTTGATTCTCAGATTCACTTTTCAACCTTAAGCAGGTAAATCTCAAAGTGAAGAATCTGGGCCTGCTGGTCCCTGTGTGATGGGACAGCCTATGGGTCTGAACTGAAGAGGGTAGTTTCAGGTGATAGAAGATATATTTGTTGGGAGAAGGAGGAGCACTAGGGAAAGAACATTCTGGACTTAAGTCTGGGGTCAATAAAAGTCTTTAGAGCCTTTTTTTAGTGAATATGAATTAAAATAATATAGGTAACAACTTGTTTCAAAAACTATTCTTTGAAAAACATATAATAAGATGACAATGTAGTAATTTGGTAAATGAAAAAATGTTTATCTCAAAGGAAAATATATTTGATATTTATGACAATTCAGTATGAAACCAGACAAAACTCTTCAAACAAAAGAGTATTCAGAACTTTCCTTATGATACATTTCAATGAAAATAAATTACACTTGGGTCACTCCTTAGTTTAAAAAGCTAAGTGTTTTTAAAATCAGTCAGGTGTCTTTAAAAAAGTTTCATGTGAAACATCTTTCAACATCATAATCATTCTCAATATACATCTAACCAAAACAGAAAGAAGAACTTTGATTTATTGGGCTTCATTTTTTAAGTTAGTGTTTTCCTACTGGACTAGTAGAAGACAGGAATTAAACAACAACAAAATAAGAATAAAAATCCCATAATAGAAAGAATGCTGGGGTAGAAATCTGGTGAACTAGATTCATGTCCTGCTACTTACAGGACTAAATGAATTGGGCTCCCTAGGTCTCAATTTCCTTATCAGTAACAAGAAAAGGTGAGATGATCCTGCACTCAATGGTGAATTTAATATGCTCTGACTTCATATATAAAAAACATATATATGAAAGACTTTATATATCACCATCTTTCACAGCAGATCCCAACTATAATTAGCAATATCCACTGACATACTATAATCCTAGAGAGGATGATGCTGATTGCCTTCCCAATTGCCACTTTCTCCTTTATTCTTTACTAAGAATTCCACTTTTGTGGGTGTTTCATTCCCTTTACCAAAGATTGGTTTAGCCAAAAGCATGAGATGCAATTTTGGTCAATGAGCTGCGATGGAAATCTGCTGTAGGGCTATTGGGAAAGGTTTGCTTCCTGGGAAAAGAGAAACACAAGGAGGGATGACACTAAACTAGCCTCAGGAATAGCTAGCTGAATGAAGGTGTTATGTGAGAACTTCAGCAGCCATTTTAGGGCTGTGAGTGTACATGCCTAAAATAAAGCCACCAGGCTAAGAATGGCTGAGCAAAAATGAAACTCTGATAACTTTGTTGAGAAACCTTTCACCACCTAATTCCATCTATGTAAAATATTAAATTTCCTTAATTTTAAACCACTTCTACTCATGTATTCTGTTATTTAAGGCTAAAAGAATTCTAGGTGACAAATACAAAAACAAACAAACAAACAAAAAAGTAAGGGTAAATTAGATTATCTATTCACCCTTAGCTCTCTTCATTACTCAGCTTATTATGCATAGTACAACATCCATAAATATTCATTACATTTATTTTTATATCTGTTTCACTGCATGAGGGAATAAAACATACATTCTAGACTGTGTCAAAAAAGGTCCCACAACTTTTTGCTTTAAATAAAAAAGCATGCCATGAAAAGAATATATATTAACTGTATATTCCAGGGGCTAGGGTTCTACAACAGGACACAACATTGATACAGCAATTGTTTCAGCTGATTCTTCAGTTGCAATGGAAGACATTAAGAAAGAAGAAATGTAAACATTAATAAACAAGTATACTGCTGAATTGCACAGTATATAAATGTAGGCCAACATTAAGCATCATTATTAATTAACCATGGGGAAGTTAATTAAGGGTGTCATTTTCAAAATCACTCTACCATTTAAAGTCGTTAGTAAATCTTTGATGATAAAAAAAGGGCATTGGAACTGGCTAGTAAAAGTTTGGTAATTGTCTGCTAAGTTAACTGCCAATTTGTCCATGCATCTAATCTTGGACATCATCTTTATATTTTTACTAAACAAATTACTATTTTTTGGCTACAGAATAAAATAAAAATATCTGAAGTCAATATATCTGAGAAAACTAAAAAGCAAAGGAGAGAATCACAAAGTATGATGAATTATATTTTTTAAACAAAGATATTTTAGGTTTCTTGTGAACACCTACCTAACTCTCAAGGTCCCACGTAAACACTAACTGGACCACGCAATACTTCCTGGTTCCTTTATCAGAGTGTCTTCTTGTCCCTTTGCATCCCATAACACACTGTTTCTATGTCTATTGTGGCATTCACCATCTGCCTTGCATCAGTCCTCTTTTCACGTATTTGACTTTATTAGTTTGTAAGATATTTGAAGGCATGAGTGTGGGTTAATCATATATGTTACCTTTCAGGTCCTATCCAGTGTCTTTCACAGAGAAGGGTCAATAATTTGTGGAATTAATGGGAATTGTAATGTGGCTATTTTTCCAAACCAAAATCTTTTATTATTGTTTCTCCTGAAATCTCTACTACTATAAAGTAATAGTCTGACCAAAATCATTAAAGTTACTCTTCAACTCAACCAACATGAAGAATGTAAATTCTAGGCCTGGGACAAAGTGATGCCAATATGGAAGTTAGTTTAAGGCAAGGAAAAAAGTAAGCAATTATGAACTACCATTTCTCCAACAAGTAGAAGGACCCATCATATACCAAGTCATATTTGAACACTATCATTGTAAATCTCTCTGAATAACAAGCTTGAAAACCTAGAGTTAGTTTTAATGGCCCTTCTCCTGTGTCTTTCTTTTGTAACTGGTCACCAGGTCCCAGTAAACATCCTGATTTTTCCTACATCAGCCCATTACTTTCAGTCCCCACTGCAATGATCTCAGTAGAGATAGTTATTACTTTCCTACTTGAACAATTAAAATAGCATCTTCATTATTCTGTTACTATCTCCACTCCCTTTCATCCCAATCTTCCTGACCACTGTTTTAAGAGTAAACACCTTTATACCTGTAATGCCCACATGGTAAGCTCTTGACTTTTTATGGTGATATCCAGGAACCCAACATATGCCTAGTCTATTTTTTTCTAACCCAAACCTCTCACTAGGATTACTTTTTTATTATACACAGTAGGGTATACATAATTACACAGTTTTTAAATCTAGTAGATTTCTATAGAGCCATATTTCTTTTTTTTAATTTAATTTAATTTTATTGTTGTACTTTAAGAGAAAGTGTACAATTCAAGTTAGTATCTCATATAAAAATTTATACATATATTGTTATGTGACACTAATTGCTCTCCCTATACTGTGAAAGCACACACCTCCACTCCACCCCAGATTTCCCTGTGTCCATTCAACCAGCTCCTGACCCTCTCTGCCTTCTCATCTCACCTCCAGGCAGGAGCTGCCCATTTAGTCTCATGTATCTACTTGAGCTAAGAAGCACACTATTCACGAGTATCATTTTATGTCCCATAGTCCAGTCTAATCTTTGACTGAAGAGTTGACCTCAGGAATGGTTTTAGTGCTGGGTTGACAGAGAGTCCAGAGGCCATGCTTTCTGGGGTTCCTCCAGTCTCAGTCAGACCATTAAATCTAGTCTTTTTACTAGAATTTGAGTTCTGCACCCTACTTTTCTCCTGTAGAGCCATATTTCAATCTCTACACTTTAGCAATATCCCATGAAAAGTCTGTTTCAATTCACACTTAAAATTTATGAAGAAAGCACTATTATGCAGAAGTAAACTAACAGAGGAAACACAAATGTTTATAGGATGCATAATATAAAGGCACCCACTTGTATGTCCATGTCAAATCCAATTTCACGAAGAACATTCACAATAATCAGGCAATTGTGCAGATATTGTTCAGGGCTCTTTGGTTGTGTGTACATATGTACGAAATGAGAATCAATCTGGAAAAAAAGAATAATCAAACCTTTTAGTAATCGAAGAAAAATTTGCTGTTTGTGTGTGTGTTCTTTGTAGTTCAGCAAAACAATCTTTAAATATTAATGTTTGGTAGTATTAGATCATTGCACCCAAAATGCAAGAATAAACAAAAAGGCAATACTAATCATTCAGGTTCAGGTATTAGACTTAATAATATTAAGAAATTTAAAATAAGCAGTTTAAAGAAAATCTACTTCAAATTTTAATTAAAAGTTGTCACAAATAGTAGGAGACTATTCCGTATAAAAGTGGCTCTTACCAAAAACGGGCAATAGGCTGCCATCTGTGTTGCAAAAACAAGGCCATCTAAAAGGTCTTTGTCAAAATTTATTATCCACCTCTCAGGGGGAATAATGCCTGTTCCAAAAAAGAGGGAGGGTAAATGTAATAATATGATTTATTTTTCTAAAAAGATATGGAAATTTGAGCAATAGTCAAAGAGAAACTGTACCTGAGCTTGGAAAACAAAAAGCATATTTGTTTAGAAATGAAAACAAAATTTAAATAGTATAACACCTTAGAAAGGTAATACCATGAAGTTATCTGCAAGGTTTTATAGGTAACTAACTGAGAGCCATCTCCTCTGTTTCTATTTGAAACACTGAAAAGTGCACTCCCATGTGATATAATGGAAGAGACCTTCAATATTTAAAAATGACTCATTGTGTTGAATAGCTTGGAATTAAAATGTTTCATCAATGATCATTAACATTGAAAAGGAGCTCAAAAGACATAGGGTTACTCTAAAATCTTAAGGGACAGTTTCTTTGTTGCAGAAATTTCCCCACATGTAAAATAAGTACGTAGAAGGGTTGGAAATTTATGGCTTATGGAAAACAGGATTATTTGACCTATAAAACACAATATAAGATGGAAGAATAATAAAAGGAATTCTCCATTACAGAAATGATTACTACCTTGAGACTGAAACAAAAAGTGAAAATTTCTGTATTTTTATTGCTGAGTAGTATTGTATTGCATGAATGCCCCACAGAATATTTATCCATTCACTTTTGGTCAATTATAAACAAAGCTGCTATAAAACGTTTGCATACATGTCTTATTATGACTGTTACTTGTAATTTGTCTTGGGTAAATAGCTAGCAATGGGATTGCTGGACCATATATTAACTAAACTGAGCAAGCTTCATCTGCTTATTTGCCATCCATCTATCTTCTTTCGTGAAGTATGTGTTCAGATCTTTACTTTTTAAATTGGGTTGTTTGTATTCTTGTTGAGTTTTGAGAGTTCTTTCTGTATTCTGCATACAAGGAATTTATGGGACATGTGATACGCATGATACATATCTCTCCATTTAATTTAGTTTTTCTTTGTTTTCATCATTTGGTTTGCAATCTTTAGCACATATATCTTGAACATATTTTGTTAGGTTTAGACTTAAGTATTTCATTTTTTGGTGCTATTGTTTAAATGGTAGTTTTTAAATTTTTAATTACTACTGTTTACTGCTAGTATATAGAAGTAGAATTTGTTTTTTGTTTTTGCATACTGATCATATATTCTGCAACCTTGAGAAGCTCATGAACTAGTTCTAGGTTTTCTTTGTAGATTCTTTGGGGTTTTCTACTTGATAATCATGTCCTATTTCAGCCCCTCCCCTAGGGGTAGAAGTGGTTTGTGTACACACACACACACACACACACACACACACGTCATACCAACAAAAGACATAAACCACTCACACTACTGCTAGTGCACGGGATAACGCTTTACTCACAGAAGAGGAGACAGAGCAAAATCAGCTTCAATAGTGGCCACTGGTCTCCCGTGGCCAGCAAGTCACTCCTCACAGCTGGTTCCAGACAATTGCTCTGTGCACGGCTCTTCCTGTGACGCAAACTAAGAGACCCCATTCCCTCCCCTCTGGGAACAGATATAGAAGTACAGTTGGCCAGGTGCCATATGGTGTTTGTACGTGTGAAAAAGACAGAGAAAGTTACTGTGTGCCCAGAACAGACAGCAAGGCTTCTCTGACAAGGAAAAAGAACTGGGAGGGAGAGAACAAATTCCCAGCCTCCTTATCAGAGAATGTTCTGGGCTCAAGGCCTCTGCTTAGGCAGACCTGATGGGAGACATAGAGGCAGACTGTCCTCCCGACAATACTGCTAGTATATAGCAGTAGAATTTGTTTTTGTATACTGATCATATATTCTGCGACGCTGATAAACTCATGTACTAGTTCTAGGCTTTTCAACACTTTAAAGAGGTCTTTTGCAGCAGAGTTGCCCAATGCAATATGTCATTTGATTTCCTGACTGTTGCTTCCATGAGCATTGATTGTGGATCCAAGTAACATGAAATCTTGAAGTCAATCTTTTCTCCATTTATCATGATGCTGCCCATTTAAATTGTCAAATTCACTGTTTAGTATATTTACAGAGTTGTGCAACTATCACCACTATCTAATTTTAGAATATTTTCATCACCACAAAAATAAAACTTATACTCTTTAGTTATCACTCCCAGTTTCTTCCTCCCTGAAGCCCTGGAAAACACTAATCTTTCTGTCACTATGGATTTGTCTATTCTGGACATTTTGTAGAAAAGAAATCATGCAATGTGTGGCCTTTTATGACTGGCTTCTTTTACTTAGCGTAATCTTTCAAGGTTCATCCACGTAGTGGTATGTATCAGTAACATCATTATTTTTATTGCCAAATTAAACTATTCCATTGTACAGATATACCACATTTTGTTTATCCATTCATCAGTTGATGGACATTTGGGATGTTTCCACTTTTTGTCTATTATGAATAATGCTGCTATGAACATCTTTGTATAAGTTTTTGTGTGGATGTACATTTTCAATGATCTAGGATATATACCAATGAGTGAAACTGCTGAGTCATATGGAAAATCTATTTTTAACATTTAGAGGAACTGCCAAATGTTTTCCAAAGTGATTGCACCATTCTACAATTCCAGCAATGCTTGAGGGTTCCAGTTTCTACATATTAATGCCAATGCATGTTATAATCTGTTTTTTTTTTGTTTGTTTATAATTTAATCATCCAAGTCAGTGTGGTTTTGTTTTGCATTTCCCTAATAACTGATTAGGTTGAGCATCTTTTCATGTGCTTATTGGTCATTTGCTTAACTTATTTGTAGAAAAGTCTTTTCAAATTTTTCAATTGGGTTAGTTGATTTTTCTATGGCCACGTTCATCAAAAGGAGCCCTGGTGGTGCAATAGTTAAGCGCTCGGCTGCTAATCAAAAGGTCAGTGTTGGAACCCATCAGCTGCTCTTTAGGAGAAAAGACCTGGAGATCTGCTCTTGTAAAGATTACAGTATAGGAAACCCTATAGGGCAGTTCTTCTCTGTCCTATAGGGTCGCTATGAATCAAAATCTACTCAACAGCACACAACAACAACATGTTCATTTAAAAAAATTTATTCTATTAATATGGTAGATCACATTGATTAATATTTGCATATTTAACGAATCTTGCATTCCTAGGATAAATCTCACTTGGTCATTATGTATAATCCTTTTTATATATTGCTAGATTCTATTAGCTAGTATTTTTTTTAGAATTTTTATACCTATATACATAAAAGATAGCATAGTAAATTTTTGAACTGCATTTTAAAACACTTTTGAAATTCAATATAATATATACTTTAAATCAGAGATCATCTTGTTTCTAAGGTTAATTGAATTATGAAAATATGTGAGACTCTAAATATCTGTAAGATCAACCTCATGATACTGAAGTTACATATATAATACTTGGTAGAATTTCTATATATGTTACAGTATGGTAAGTACGGTATTCTTTTCTGATCCTGAGATTTTTTCCAGTTACAAAATGACTTCTTAGTCATAAGTCTATTACAAAGCTCCCTTTATTTTGTACTTCCAAATTGCTGATTCTCAGTAATAGTATGGCATATTGTCCAGTCCTGAGCCATCCCCATAATCAGTTGCAGATCGGACCATTGTTATCCATAGGGTTTTCACTGGCTGATTTTTGGAAGTAGATTCACAGGTTTCTCTTCTTAGTCCATCTTGGTGGAAGCTCTGCTGAAACCTGTTCAGCATCACAACATCATAACAACACGCAAGCCTCCACTAAGAGATGAGTGGTGCATTGGCCAGGAATTGAACCAGGATCTCCCACAAGGAAGGTGAGAATTCTACCACTGAAGCACCACTACCCTTGATTTTTAGTCATTAAACCAAAAAAGACAAACTTGTTGCCATCGACTTGATTCCAACTCACAGCGATCTTATAGGACAAGGTAGAACTGCCCCATAGGGTCTCCAAGGAGCAGCTGGTGGATTTGAACTGCCAACATTTTTGGTTAGCAGCCGAACACTTAACCACTATGCCACCAGGGTTCCTATTAGTCATTAGGGAAATGCAAATAAAACCAAAGTGAGATACCACTTCATATCCACCAGAATGACTATAATCAAAAGAACAGACAATAACAAGTGTTGACAAAGATGTGTAGACATCGGTATGTTTATACATTGATGGTAGGAATGTAAAATGGTGCAGTCACTTTGGAAAGCAATTTGAAAGTCCCTCAAAATTCAGTTAAACATGCAGTTATCATATGAATTAGCAGTTACACTCGTATGGAATACTAAAGAAAAACGAAAGTATATGTATACAAAACATTTAGATTAATGTTCACAGTAGAATTATCTATAATAGCCAAAAATTGAAAACATTCCAGAGTTCAGCAAAATGGCGCTCTAGGCAGAAGCACCACGCCGTCCCTCCACAGCAAAGATCTGAAAAACTAAGCCGAACACAGAATATAACAATCCTGAAACACTAAAACATCAAATGAAGAGAGAAAGAACTCAGCCAAGCACCAAATGGAGTGAGAAAACTGACAGAGAACGGAGAGCGAGGAGAGATTCATGCAGAGGTTCCCTACAAGCTAACGCAGCGCGGATCCACCATCTTGGACTCCTATCGGAAACCAGCAAACAGGGAGTACGAGAAAGCAGCCTCACGGAGCGTCCAGGGGAGACAAAACAACCGGTAATTTGCGACGTATGCTTTCCCACCCCCCACTCTGCTTCACCCTCACTCGGCCTCCTCTGCTTCCCGCAACCACAATCTCTTGACTGGGAAACACCAGCTGCTTGGATTCCACACACAAGAATGGGCCGACTCTCTGAGTGCCATTTGTTGTCTGCTGGTGTTGCTTTTTTCCGCTTCTTTTGATTTCTTCCTTACATCTCACCACCTCCCCCTCCTTTCACTCAAATACCTGGCTCCGTGCGCCATCTTTGCTTCTTCCTGAGGGGCTCCAGAGCTCCGGTAGTTTGTGATACACGCTTTCCCACTCCCTACACTTCTTCACCCACACTCCG